TTTTCTCCTATTATTGATTTCTAGTTTCATTTCATCATGATTGGAAAAGATATTTCACATGGTTTCAATCTTCATAAATTTGTCAAGATTTATTTTGTTGCTTAACATGTGATCTATCCTGGAGAATGTTCCATGTGGCTTAAGAAGAATGTATATTTTGTTCTGTTGGATAGAATGTTATGTATATGTTCATTGTATCTCTTTCGTATCTAGTGTTTAATTCTACTGTTTCCGTATTTGTTTTCTGTCTGGATGATCCATCCATTGTTGGGTGGGGTATGTATTTCTTCTACTATGTATTACTATTTTATGTCTTCCTGATGAATTGATCCTTTTGTTAGTATATATAATGACTTTCTTTGTCTTTTATGAGGTTTTTGACTTGAAGTCTATTTTATCTCTTATAAGTATAGCCACCTTTGCTCTCTCTTGGTTATTTTTATGGGATGTGGTTTTCATCCATTCATTTTCAGGCTATTTGTATTCTTAAATCTAAAGTGAGTCTCTTGTAGACAGCATATAGTTGGGCCTTATTTTTAAAAATCCATATATCCACTCTGTGCCTCTTGATGAGAGAATTTAATCTATATACATTTAAGGACTTACTATTGCTATTTTGTTAATTGTAGTTCCTTTCTTCCTCTCTTGTTGTCTCTCTTTGTGGCTTATTATTATTATTTGTGGTAGTATGCTTTGATTCTTTTCTTTTTATTTTTTTTGTATCTACTACAGGTTTTTTTTGTGTGTGTGATTACCATGAAGCTTACATAAAACATCTTGCAGTTATAATAGTCTATTTTAAGCTGATAATTTTTATTACATACAAAGACTATACACTTTTACTTCTTCCCCATATTTTATATTATTTATAACACAATTTATATCTTTTTATATTGTGTATCCAATTATATACCATCATCACAGTATCAGAGAATTCTGAGTTTGACTATATACTTATGTTTATCAGTGCATATATGTTTTCATGTTGCTAATACATGGTCCTTTTATTTCAACTTGAAGATCTCCCTTTCACATTTCTTGTAAGGCAAGTCCAGGGGTGATGAACTTCCTCAGTTTTGGTTTGTCTGGGAAGGTCTTTATCTTTCTTTCCTTTTGGAAGGATGGCTTTGCTGGGTATGTTTTTGGTCGGCAGTTTTTTTTCTTTCAGCACTTTGAGCATATCATTCTGCTCTCTCTTGGTCTGCAGGGTTTTTGGTGAGAAGCCCATTGATAGTCTTATGGAGGTTCCTTTGTATGTGTTGAGTTTTTTTTTTTTTTTTTTTTTTTGCTGCTTTAAAAATTCTCTGGTAAAAAGAATTTGAGGAGGTTAAAAAATAAATAAAATGAAACAAAAATTAAAAAAATCTCTCTTTGTCTTTGATTTTTGACTATTTGATTATAATGTGTTTTGGTGAAGACCTCTTTATTCTCAATGTACATGGAGTTCTTTGGGTTTAATGGATCTGGGTGTTTTTTTCTCTTTACAGATTTGGGAGGTTTTCTGTTATTTTATTTTTTGTAGTTTTTACAGTTTTATTTAAACACAGAACGTGCACATGAGCTGTCTACTCATTTTCTTCACTGTGCAGACTGGCATTGGAGTTAGTGACTCTGATGGCCAGCAGGCAGCTCTTTCCAAGATGGCTTTGTGGTTCTTGGAGGAAACATTGTGAGCAGTCTCAGCACAGTGAGATTTGTTGCATGTCAGCAGTGCTTCCAGCTCCTTCATGTTGTGAACCAGGAACTTCTGGAAGCCACTGGGCTGCATATGTTTTGTTTTTTTGTTGCTCCCATAACCAATGTTGGGCATCAAGATCTGGCCCTTGAACCTTCTGCGAACCCTGTTGTCAATATCTCTGGGTTTCTGCCAGTTACGCTTAATTTTGACGTATCGGTCTGACTGGTGCCAGATGAACTTCTTGGTTCTCTTTTTGTGATCTTGGACGTAAAGGGGTCTGAGGGTGGCCATGATGCCAAGGAGGAGATGGCTGCCACCTTGGCAATACCAAGGAAGAGAGACATTATATTTTAAAATAAGCTTTCTTTCCCTTTCTCTTTCTCTGGTCCTTTTGGGATTTCTATAGTATATATAATATTTTACTTGATGTTTTCATAAGTCCAGCAGAGTTGAGCCAGCTGCTAAGATTCATGCCTGTTGTTATTGTTCATGTTCTCTCTACAGCAGCTAATGTGGGCCACGCACAATGGTATTGGGCCCCATACATGGTGGGGTGGGTTATGTAGGGTGCATAGACTTGTTGGGTGGGGTTCTGCAGGTGAGTCATCTGGTGGGATTTGTGGGCAAATCTCCTGCTGGACTCTGTAAGCTAATTGGCAGAATCTGTTGTTGGTTGTTGAAACCACATGCCAGTTTCTGTGCACTCCACTCCCTTCTCCCTGTTTCTAGGCGATCAGTCATCTGTATTCTGGGCAGGGAGAGACATAAGTGAGCCTCCTGGTCAGTGTTCTTCAAGTCTGGGGAAGCTAGGTGTTCACTATGCTTTCACCTTCCCCTGTGGGAGAAATGGAAGGCCAAAAAAGCTGCTCTCAGCACAAGCTGTGCCTCCTTGGGGAAGGGATGATGCAGGTAAAGTGGAACTGCACTTGTTGCCCTTTTCAGTGCTTCCACTCTTGGGTTGATTTGCTCCAGTGGGATGCTGGAGCCTCAGCCAGACTCCAGGCCTCCCACATAGTGATTCTCACCTGTCACTGTCTGCCTTAACTGGTGTTTCTTTCGGGGGATAAGAGCTGGAACATCCTATTCTGCCATGCTACTGATTTCACTCCTGACTGAATTTTGAAGAATGAACAGAACTCACTAGATGTATAAGGAGAAAAGAGCATTCTAAGCAGAGGGAACTCCAGGTACAAAGGCAGAGAAATTTAATCTATCAAGGTGCTTGTGATGGACAGTAAGTTTTTTGTGGGACTGGCATGTAGGGTTCATGGAAGGAGACAGTAGGAGTGTGTAATTGGAAAGTTAGTCAGGGGATAGATTACCATGGGCTCATATGGACAGTGAAAACTATAAAAGAAAATGGAAAACTTGTGATGGCTCTACACATTGAACTTTACCAGTGAAGACTTTTCCTTGTATCTGAGCAGGATTTTAGACATGGATTCATCAATGAGCAGTTGCAATACTGTACATGAGAGAAGTCAGGAGTGATGATAGAGCTCAGAGATAGAGACATCAGTAAAGGCATGTACAGTCACAGTTTATGAGATGGGCAATAAGAGGAGTTCATTCAACTAATATTTGCTGAGTATCTACCACATACCCTCAAACTTGTAGAAATTGAAGACACAGCAGTGAACAAAAAGAAAAAAATCCCACTCTTCTCTGTTACATATGTTTGCTATATCTATACATATTTTTTTTCTGGAGTATTTAAAAGCAAATCCCAGACATCATGTCATTTCACCTTCAAATATTTTAGTATGTATCTCTAACTCATAAGGACTTTAAAAATACATAACCATCATACATAACTACCATGTCATTTATCATAATATATAATACCATGATATCATTTCAGAGTTATTATGCATTTATATTTTCACTAGTGTTTAAAATGTCTTTTTAAAATTAGTTACTTTGGGCCAGGTGTGGTGGCTCATGCCTGTGATCCCAGTACTTTGGGAGGTAGAGGTGAGCGGATCACTTGCAGGCCAGGAGTTCACGTCCAGCCTGGCCAACATGGAGAAACCCTGTCTGTACTAAAAATGCAAAAATTAGCCGGACATGGTGGCGTGCGCCTGTAGTCCCAGCTACTCGGGAGGCTGAGGCAGGAGAATCACTTGAACCTCAGAGGCAGAGGTTGCACTCCATCCTGGGTGACAGAGCAACTCTGTCTCAAAAAATAACTAACTAAATAAAATTAGGTGCTTTGGATCTAGGTTCAAATAAGGGCCACATATTGTATTTGGTTGACATATCTCTTATCTTCATTAAAATCTAACAATTTCCTATCCTTCCTTTGGTATTCTTTTATGCCTCTTAAAATTGTTTCACTTTAAAATTATCGTATAGTAAAATTTGCTTTCTGGTATACAGTTCTATACATTTTAACACATGTATAGATTCATGTAATCATGACCACAGTCAGTATACAGAACAATTTTTTCACCTGCATGTGTGGGGTAGGAGGAGATCTGGTGGTTGATCCTCTATGACAGACTGTTAAATACCCCCTTGATTTTGGGTCTATGGCTCACCTTTCCACCTTGAACCTCCCTGGGCTGAGACTTTCCAGGTTCTGTGGGGGTTTAATGTCTCACTTTCCATTGGGTCAGGAAGATTAAATTGCCCAAGATTCCACATTGTATTGCGGAATTCAGATTCAAACCCAGATTTTCCATCTTCAAACCTCTATATTTAAAATTTATTGTATAAAACTAGAAAAATGTCTGAGCACATAGAGTACCAGAAGAACCAGTTTCAGAATATAGATGCAGGATTCCTAAATAAAATAATAACAAACCTGAATCTAGCACAAATTAATGAAAAAATTTATGAATGGTAGATAATAAATAAATATGAAGTAAAATGAGGAACCATTTTTGTGTATAGGTTACTAACTTGGCAGAGATTTTAAGAGAAATACTATCAGCTACAGTCAATAGATGGAGAAAACAGGCATTCTTATATGTTTCTAGTGTGAAAACAAATTGGTACCACCATTCAAGGGGTCAGTTTTACTATCTGTAACAAAACTCTTAATATTTCCCAACTTTTAACCCAGAAGTTTCACCTCTAGGAATTTATTTTCAGGAAGCAATCATGATATTTATAAAAATTTAACTATGAGGATATTAATTTCAGTGTTATTTATATATTGAAAAAATTAATAATATATCTGTCCACGAACATAGACTTCATAAAATAAATTAAAATACAAGACACAAAATAATATTGAAGAATAATGTTAATAACATGAATGTAAGATAATTAAGTGAAATACCTAGTTTCAAAACAGTGTTTTTTTTTTTATTACAAGGGATTCTTTCTGTTGCAAGTAATGAAAAGTCAACTAAAAATGGCTTATGAGAAAGAAAAGGAAGATATTGATTCATAAAAATGGAAAATCCATGGTCACAAGGCCTCCAGGTAAGGTTGCATCCAGCTTCCTCATCAGTAATTGGTTTCCATCTCTTGGTTTGGCTTTACTTTCAGATAGACACTCTAAAAACATTGTTAAAGAGAGCTACCAGTAGCTCTGGGATTATGCTTTACCAACTAATAACCTAACAGGAAAAGAGTATTCCTTTTAAATTATTCCAACAAAAATCCTAGTGCTGAATCTCATTGGTCAGGTCTGGCTCATGTACTTCTCTCCTTCTTTTATTTTTTAAATTGCATTTTAGATTTTGGGGTACATGTGAAGAACATGCAAGACTGTTGCATAGGCACACACATGGCAGTGTGATTTGCTACCTTCCTCCCCATCACCTATATCTGGCATTTCTCCCCATGCTATTTCTCCCCAGTACTCCTCTCCTTAACTGAGAGGTGGTGTGAGTCCCATTTGAACTATATCATAATAATGACAGCTGAAATTTATAGAGTATTGACTATGTGTCAGATTATGAGTCTGAGTCCCATGATTTTATGTATAAGTTTGGGCAATTTAACCTTCCTAAGCCAGAAAAGAACACATAATCTGTGTCCTCTGTATGATTTCACTAAATTCTCTTGGCAATCCTAGTGAAACAGATTCTATGTCCATCCTCATTTTATGGATGAAAACACTGAAGCTCAGGCAGATTAATTATTGTCTTAGTTTATTTAGCATTGCTATAAAGGAATACCTGAGGCTGGGTAATTTCTTTCTTTTCTTTTCTTTTTTTTTTTTGAGACAGAGTTTTACGCTTATTGCCCAGGCTGGAGTGCAACGGCGTGATCTCAGCCCACTGCAACCTCTACCTCCTGGGTTCAAGTGATTCTCCTGCCCCAGCCTCCTGAGTAGTTGGGATTACTGGCTTATGCCACCACGCCCGGCTAATTTTGTATCTTTAGTAGAGACGGGGTTTCTCCATGTTGGTCAGGCTGGTCTCAAACTCCCGACCTCAGGTGATACACCCACCTTGGCCTCGCAAAGTGCTGGGATTACAGGCATGAGCCACTACGCCTGGTCAGGCTGGGTAATTTCTAAAGAAAAGAGGCTTCTTTGGCTCATGGTTCTGTAGGCTCTACAAGAAGCACTGCACTGGCATCTGCATCAGGTGAGGGCCTCAGGCTGCTTCTAATGGTGGAAGGTGAAGGGGAGCCAGCGTTGGAAGTAAGGTGTGGAGGCGGTGCCAGGCTCTTTTTAACAATCAGTTCTTCTGGTAATGAATAGAGGAAGAACTTACCCTTGAGGGAAGGCACTAATTTATTGATAAGGGACCCACCCCCATGACCCAAATACCTCTCATTGGGCCCCACCTTCAACATTAGGGGTAAAATTTCAACATGAGATGTGGAGGGAACAAACATCCAAACTAAAGCAAGTTGATTATATAAATTGAAAGAATTAGCAAATAATGCGTTCACTCACATGGACTGAGAATACGGGAGGCAGCAGTTCTTCAAAGAAGGATCAGATGCTGCTTCAGACATTGAATAGAAAGCCCAAAACAAAGTAAAGGAAAACAAAACAACCCCATAGAATAAACAAGGATATGAAAACTTTAAAAGTCTGCTAGTAATATACTTGGAAAGGTACAGAATATATTGCACCCATATTATAACAGAGTAAGATCATGATACTTTTTATTTTTTTTTGAGACAGAGTCTTGCTCTGTGGCCAGGCTGGAGTGCAGTGGCTCGATCTCTGCACATTGCAACCTCCACCTCCCAGGTTCAAGGGATTCTCCTGCCTCAGCCTCCCAAGTAGCTGGGACTTACAGGTGTATGCCACCATGCCTGGCTAGTTTTTTGCATTTTGGTAGAGACGGGGTTTCTCCATGTTGGTCAGGCTGGTCTGAACACCCGACCTCAGTTGATCCACCCGCCTTGGCCTCCCAAAGTGCTGGGATTACTGACATGAGCCACTGCACCCAGCCAATAAATTTTAAGAGAATAAAAAGGGCCCTTCAAAATTAAAGCAAGAGAGTAGACCTGAAAAGTGTGACAGAAGAGTTAGAAGATAAACTTGAGGAAATAGCCCAAGAAGACATAGAGTTGGAAAATAGGAGAGAAAAGATAGAGAAGATTAAAGATTAAGACTGGAGTGTTCAGTATCTGAATAATAGGTGTTCAAGAGAGAAAAAGAATATGTAGGAGAGGCAGTCATCATAAAAACCATACAGAAAGTTTACTCAAAACTCACGAAGGCCCGGTGTGATGGCACGTGCCTGTAGTTCCAGCTACTCGGGAGGCTGAGGCTGGAGGATCACTTGAGCCCAGGAGTTCTGGGCTGTAGTGTGCTATGCTGAGTGGGTGTCCGCACTAAGTTCGGCATCAATATGGTGACCTTCCGGGAGCAGGGGACCACCAGGTTGCTTAAGGAGGGGTGAACCGGTCCAGGTCGGAAACGGAGCAGGTCAAAACTCCCGTGCTGATCAGTAGTGGGACTGTGCCTGTGAATAGCCACTGCACTCCAGCCTGGGCAACATAGCGAGACCCTGTCTCTTTAAAAAAAAAAATTAGAAAAAACTCATGAAGGACATGAATTTCCAGATTGAAAAGGTTCTTCAAATGCTTAGAGAAATGTATGAAAAAAGACTTGTCAAGACACATTATCATGGAATTTCAGAACACAGAGTCCAAGAGATCTTGAAAGCTTAGAGAGCAAGGAAGAGGATATATATGAAGATCAAATATAAAGGACTGGGCATCAGCTTTGGCTTTGCCTGCTTCAATAAACAATGGTAGAGGCAAGAGACACCAGAGCAAAGCTTGTCAAATTCTTAAGAAAAACTATTCCCGGCCTAGAATTCTGCACCCAGCTAAATTAGCAATCAAATATGAGTGTAAAATAAGGACATTTTCAGATGTGCAAGGTTTACTTCCCATGCATTCTTTCTGAAGGAGCTGCTGGAGGCTGTGCTTCTTGAATAAGAGGACAAGCCAAGAGAAAGAACATATGGGACACAACAGATAGGAATCTAACATAGGAGAGTGGTGAGGGGACTCTAGGATAAGGGTGATGGGAGAGTCCAGAATGACAGTTATGCACTAGGTGCAGAAGGAAACAAGTCCAGCTTGAAGAAATGGGACACCGGGACTCCAGGGAGAGACATACTGAGGGTTTCCATCACCACTCCCCACTGCCATCAGGCTAACTCTCTTTTTTGAGATGGAGTCTTGCTCTGTGGCCAGGCTGGAGTGCAGTGGTGCGATCTCCGCTCGCTGCAACCTCCACCTCTCGGGTTCAAGCAATTTTCCTGCCTCAGCCTCCCATGTAGCTGGGATTACAGGCATGCGCCCACCACCATGCCCAGCTAATTTTTTGTATTTTTAGTAGAGACAGGGTTTCACCATGTTGGCTAGGATGGTCTCGATCTCTTGACCTCGTGATCCTCCCGCCTCGGCCTCCCAAAGTGTTGGGATTACAGGCGTGAGCCACCACACCTGGCCCATGCTGACTTTTAAATCAAGGACTAAATACCCAGAGTCTGCCCCAGATTTTTCTCTGTGTTTATCTTATTTTGACCACATACTGATAAAGTTCCTGCTCGTTCCTCCGTGCTCTGACACTTGAGCTACTATGGGTATCATCTAGTAATGTTCTGCTTTGACTTCTGGGAAGTGGAGGGGAAGTCATGATGAGCAGAATATACAGAACATCCCCCTCCTTCTGACTATCCTGGCCAAACATCTAAAACGTGGCCCATCCTCCAGAGCTACCGTATGTCTCACCTGTGCTGAGCCCAGTGTTTCCCAGTGTTACTCATCACCTTACTCAAAGATTTTCTCATAAAAGCTTTTATAAATGCTTAGGGAAGCTGAAGCCAGATAATGACGCAGAGGCTGTTCAGCTTATCTTCTCCTGAGCCTTCCTCAAACAGTGGTAACATCACCCTTTCCTTATCCTTCTAGATTGGTGCTTGCTGCTCAGTTTTTCAAGATGAAAGTTGTCACGTTGTTTAGGGTTGCATTTATTGGTGGAAAACTGTAAAGGAAACAAGAGAATGATTAACAGAAGTCATCATTGTGGTTATCACTGGGGGCGGACAAGAGACCGCAACTGGGGAGGGATAAACAGAGGCTTCTAAAGGACTGGTTATATTTTGTGTCTTTTTTTTTTTGAGATGGAGTCTCACTCTGTCACCCAGGCTGGAGTGCAGTGGCTCAATCTCAGCTCACTGCAACCTCCACCTCCCGGGTTCAAGCGATTCTTCTGCCTTAGCCTCCCAAGTAGCTGGGATTACTTTTTGTACGCCTGGCTAATTTTTGTATTTTTAGCAGAGACGAGGTGTCACCATATTGGCCAGGCTGGCCCCAAACTCCTGACTTTGTGATCTGCCTGCCTTGGTGTCCCAAAGGGTTGGGATTACAGGTATGAGCCAACACACCTGGCCTATATTTTATATCTTAAACTGGGTGGATGATTATTTATCTTATTATATTAGGTTGGTGCAAAAGTAATTGCGGCTTTTGCCATGACTTTTAATTTAAATATTTGATCAAGCAAATTTTATTCATCCTTCTATTTGTATGATGCATTTTACAACAAACCATTTTAAAAATCAGGTGCTGTTAATAAAAGTGGAAGTCAATGGAAACAAGTAGAAATAAGAGATATTTTTTCAGGATCTTTGGATAGTAAAAATACCTGCAAAGAGAAAGGACAAGAAGGGACATTTTATTTCTTTTAAAGTGAAAGCAAGTTTATTAAGAAAGTAAAGGAATAAAAGAATAGGCAGAGCATCTGGGAAGGGACATTTAGTCCCCGCTCTGGCTTTGTTGTTGTTGTTTCAAGCAACAGAGACCTGCTCAATTTGACTCAAAAAGAATAGGGGTTGTTTTGAGCCTACACACGGAAGAAAATGGAATAGTAAAACTTAGACAGTGTTTCTTACAGGCATCCTTGTGTGTCTGTCTGCTCTGTTCCCTGCTAACCATACAGATGCTCCTTGACTTATAATGGGGCTGTGTCCTGATAAACCCATTGTAATTTGAAAATATCATTAAGTAGAAAATGCATGTAATACACCTAACTTAGGCTAAGGTATCTTAGCCTAGCCTGCCTTAAATGTACTCAGAACACTTAATATTAGCTTAAAGTTGGCAAGATTATCTAACACACAGCCCATTTTATAATAAAGTGCTGACTATCTCATGTGATTTATTGAATATTACACTGAAAGCAAAAAGCAGCATGGTTGGATGGGTACTCAAGGTGCAGTCTCTGCTGAATGTGTATCACTTTTGCACCATCCAAAAGTTGAAAAACACTAAGTTGGACCATTCCAAGTGGGGATTGTCTGTATAACAAATCTCCCCAAAACGTATTGTCTTAAAATAACAACTACTACTTATTTATTGGCTCAAAATGCTGAACTTTGGGAAGGGATTGACAGGAACAGCTTGGTTCTTCTCTATGTGGTGTTGGCTGGGCCACCTTTCCTGGGGCTGGAGGATCCGGGTGGCTTCAGTCACATGTGTGGCTCAGCAGAGGTATCTAGAACAACAAAGGACTGGCCAGGCCAGTCTCTCCAGCAGGCAGTCAGTCTTCTTTATTATGGTAGCTCAGGGCTCCAAGAGAAGCAAAGGGCAAGATGTCAAGCCTCTTCCTGGTCAAGAACTGGCACCGTGTCACTTCTGCATTCTGTTGGTCAAAGCAAGTCACAGGGCCAGTCTAGAATGCAGGGAGGAGAAACAGATTTCACCTCATGATGGAAGAAGTGCTTACGAGATGAGAAGCATTCGTGGCAGCTATTTTTGCAAACAATTTGCTGTACCTGTCTTCCACCTCATAATTTTGGTTGTACGTAATTTTAGTTTGCTATTGCTGAACTCTTGTTTTTCTGTCACCTCCAGCTTTATTGCCGACTAGCAAATCTTTTTTTCTGTGTTTTGGTTTAAATTCCTAAGAACAGTTGGTTTAATTAATCTCTTTACCTCATGTCAGTGGTCAGAGGTCAGAGGCCATCCTATTTTTTTTCACCAAGTTTTCATTTGGAAAAGCCTTTGGGAGAGTTACAAGAACAGTACCATGAATATCTATAGATGCTTCACTTAGATTCACCAGTTTCAACCTTGGGCACATTTGTTTGATCACACATTCATTCTTTATGCATATATATGCATGGAGTTGGTTGAAGACGTCATGATGTTTTACCTTTAAATACTTTAGCATATATCTGCTGAGAACAGGGGCATTCTCTTATATAACCACAACCAAATTACCACACTCAAGAAATTTAACATTTATATACAACTATCATCTAATTTACTAACTATATTTATATTTCTACAATTGCCCCAAAATGTCCTTTATATATCATTCTTTTTTGATCTGGTATTTAATAATCACACATCAAAATGGGTTACCATGTCTCCCTAATGTTCTTTTCTTTTTTTTGAAAGAGAGGAGGATCTCATTCTGGTCACCCAGGTAGGAATGCAGTGGCTTGATCATGGCTCATTGCAGCCTTGACCTCCTGGGTTCAAGTAATCCTCCGGCCTCATTTTTTGATTTTTTTGTATGTAGAGATGGGGACTCACTATGTTGCCTAGGCTGGTCTTGAACTCCTGGGCTCAAGTAATCCTCTCGCCTCTGCCTCCCAAAGTGTTGGGATTACAGGTGTGAGCCTCCCTAATGTTCTTTAATTTAGATAAGTTCTCTGTCATTTTTTGTCTTTTAGGATATTGACATTTTGGAGAGCCTAGGCTAGCTGTTTTGTACAATGTCTTTCAATTTCAGTTTGCCTGATTGTTTCCTCATGATTAGATTCAGCTTAAACATTTTTTGGCAAGACTACACCATTGGTGATGTGTGGCCAGTCACTTCAGGTGCTACTCTTAGGCAATTGCTGGCCAGCTGCCTGTGCGTACTACCATCCCATCTCCACCTTCCATCATTTCCATTGCCCGAAGTCTTCCAGGTAAGTTTGGCCATGGAAAGATAATAGTGGATGATTGGAGGGTGGGAAGAGGGGAAAGGCTAGGATATTGCCCCTATTTCTCTCTTTTCTGTGACTGCTTTTCTTTGTGTCTCCAATTCTTCCCCAACAAATGCTCCCTCTGTGGTTTCAGCTCCCCTAGGGAAATGCCCTCTCCTTAGTTCTGCTCCTTCTGGTTGGCCTCAACTTCTGTGCTCTGATAAAACTACCTTCTCCCATTGACTCCTCAGTTCCAGGATGGCAGTTCCTTTTAGCTGTTGCCGACCTCTCAGTTGCCTCATCATCCCATCCTGTGTCTGGCGTCTCAGCTTTTCCATTTCCTCTGTAACCAATTTCCTTATTAACTTTCCTGTTTATTTTGTTTGAAAAGTCTAGGGTGGTGTCTGTTTTCTTGACTAAACCTTGATTAAGATAGTTAGGGTGTTCATTGTCAGTGTGATTTGCGTGACTTGTGGAATGGGGCCACGTTGCAGAAAATAAGGCAGCATTAGCAACAGGAGGTATAAGATGGGAAATTCCTTTATAAGGATAAGTAAGCAGCATAGGCCTCCTCCCTGGTTACCCAAAAGGAAATATACAAAAAAACAAAGAAACATCTCAAGGTGGTAGAATTTTGTATGATTTTTATATTAATTTTCTTCTTTTCTGTTCATCCAAATTACCTAACTTTTTTTTTTTACAATGGACATAGATATTTTTGACATGAAGAAAAAATTGCCAGCATGTTGTATTTGTAAACAAATGAAGGAGAATGGTGTGCAGGTATACATGTTGTACACAATAAGACATTATCAGAGGATACAAAAATGGCTAAACCCCATCAAAAGACAAAATTACAACAAATTTAGAGACCTTAATTGGCTTTTATTTGCCATTCTAGAATAAGGTAACACCTCATTCTACAAAACAGAATGAGTGCTCTGATGAGCATGAGCTGAACACAGGAGGTTGGTTTTATCAGCAGAAAATGGCCAAGAAAAGCAGAAATAGGAAATAAAAGGTAGACGGGTTGTTTCAGAGTTACTTTTTTTGTAAAGATTAAAGCAGAGTGAATTTCCTTATTATACCAGCTAAAATTGTGTTGTTTGGGGATTTGGCTATTATATCTCACTCTCTTGATTTCTTGGAAGGTCAGATAAACAACTTAGTTTCGTCTTGGTGATGTGGAACTGTAGCATGAGTGACTCCATTTTGGTTTAGTCTGTTGGGCTTAGTGTAGGAGCTCAGTCAAAATCAACGGCCTCCTATACATTTTATTTAATACCCCCACAAAAAGCATTTGGCTCCCAAATCTTTTTTTCTTTTTGATGGAGTCTCGCTCTGTCACCCAGGCTGGAGTGCAGTGGTGTGATCTCGGCTCACTGCAACCTCCGCCTCCTGGGTTCAAGTGATTCTCCTGCCTCAGCCTCCCAAGTAGCTGGGACTGCAGACGCATGCCACCACACCTGGCAAGTTTTTTATATTTTTAGTAGAGACGGAGTTTCACCATGTTAGCCAAGATGGTCTCCATCTCCTGACCTCATGATCCGCCCGGCCTCCCAAAGTGCTGGGATTACAGAAGTCAGCCACCGTGCCTGGCCCAAATCTTTGGAATAGAAAAAATAAGAAGGTCATTCAGTGTAAGATGATAAAAAGAGTAACAAGAGACTACTCTTATTTCTTCATATAAAATGCTTATACTTTTTTGTATGTCTAATTTGTAATTTAATAATTTAAAAGATTTTTATTAAAAAGGAAGTCGTAAAATGGGAAATGGTTCAGTTGTTGAGGTTTTCCTGTGATCAGTCTAGCCCACAAATGGGCAAATCTCCATTGATCATGAAAAAACTACACTGGTTCTTATGGAAATGTTTACATTTAATAGGTGACATAACAGTGATTGTTTATAACAATTAAAGGTACTTTTCCCAATGTTTACTTAGTCAGCTATCCTTAGGAGTTTTGGAAAGCTTATTAGAGACTAAAGAATTTAAAGGGGTACCAAAATAGCTGAAGCATGAGTTAGAATTCACAGAACATGAGTAAAAACGGCTAGGAAATATTAGGGAAAAGATCAAATAGATGGCAAGGCTAAAATAAAACTGCAATGATGAAGACAAATGGAAAACGCTGGAGACAAAGTGGATTTTGGAAACAAGAAGTACAAAAACAGAGTTACTCAGTAAGTACCAGATTTGAAAAATTAACAAGAAGTTTTCACAGAAGAGCCTAACATAGGAAATATGCACTGCAAGTGAGGGCATGGGAAAACCTGCTTCTGCTCTACATATAATCCAATATAATCTGGTACAGAATGCCTTGAAAAGTCAAAAGAAGATAGTTTCCTAGGTGTTTAACTATTTCAATGGCTCCCATCGGTAAGTCATAGCTAGCAATGGACTTTTGACTTAAACCTGCTTGTACCTGCTGCTATGTTTTGAATGTCTCCTCCAAAACCCATGTTGAAAGTTAATTGCCATCGTGCTAGTATTAAGAGATGGGACCTTTAAAGGGTAATTAGGTTATGAGGGCTTGGCCCTTATGAATAGATTAATGTTATCATGGGAGTGGCTTAGTTTTCGTGGGAATTAGATCCCCATTTTCTCTCTCTGTTTTGTGTGCTTGCTTGCCTTCCTGCTATGGGATGAATCAGCATGAAAGTCCTTGCCAGATTCTCATGCCATGTTCTTACACTTTCTAGCCTCCAGAGCTGTGAGTCCAATAACCTTTTATTCTTTATAAATTATCCAATTGATGATAGTCTATTACAGCATCAGAAAATAAACTAAGACACAGGGCAAAACCTGTATGTAGTCAGAGTCTAATTACGGCTATCTCAAGAGTTTATTCAATGGGCTCACTAAGTGCTATATGTGAGAATAAGAAGATTGTTAATTCTGTCTGAAATGAAGCATACTAATAAATGAATGCATTGACATTTTATGTGAATAATTATGACCTTCTAGTATTGCATATTTAATGTTATGGCTTAGAAACATGGAAGAAAGCATCAGGTCAGAGTTAAACCTGTTTGTCTTTACCACCCACACTGAAAAAAGAATCTAGGTCGAAGTAAGAGCTCTGATTTTGAGAACCTCTTACTTTAGAATTTTCCATCGACAATGTTGGGAAACGTGATCTGGACTATGCAGTATTTGGCTCTTCATAGGCTGCAAAATTTTGAAAGGTGCTGGTGTGAATCTTAGCAGAGATCTCTGGCCTAGGTATTCCTTTATCTTTACTTTCTCCCAACTTTATCCCAAGTAAATATCTCAATAGAGCAATATCTACTAATTCACAGGGCTATAGTGACATTCTTTTGACACATCAGGAAAATTTTAGGAAACAAGACTGGGAGGAGAAAATGGAGTTGGGATACCTTCTCATAGCTATGCACCTAACACTACCCAGATAAAAAATTCTATAGATTTTATGTTTAAAAACTGGTATTAAAAAAACAACAAAAAACAAAGCAACCTGGTAGTTATTAGTTATATAACTCAAGCTTTTTTCTCTTAAGTTTTCCCCCATTCTGTTTGTAGAAGTTCCAGGTCATGATTACCTTTCCAATTTCCAGAGACACTATAAAATAACCATCATCAGACTTTTAGCTGTAGGTAATAAATAGAAGAGTTATTATAACATTCTGAGCATAATAACTGGTGTTCCTAGAAGTATCCAGGACAATTGTCTAAGGCCTTGAGGTATCAAATAGGCATCTAAATGGAAAATAAATCTGAACTGTGTTCAGTGGATGGTTGAGATTCCTTTGAAAGCTGTTGATGTGCAGTTATGTGAAATACAACAGCCATTTATTAAATGCCCATAATCTGCTTGAGAGTAATCGTGTACATAGTTAATACTCCAAACTGCTTTTCCATTCAGATCATTTCAATTTGGTTAATGATGTAAAAGCAAATATTTGTTCAGAGCAATGCTGCTCCTCCATTAATGAACTACTGCCTGGTCCCCTCATTATTGTACATCTCAGTCACCTTCAATGATGCTCAAAAAGCGTACCTCCCAAAGGAGTCTTTTTTCCCATGCTCACTCAGTTTAACTTCCTCTCCTGGTTTAGCTAAACAGGAATTCATCTCCATTTTAGGAAGTACTTACTTCACAAATTAGCTTTCCTTATATTCCTTCTAAAGCAAAACAAATCTAGTTTAGTTTTGTTTTTAAGAATCGAGGTCAGAAATGCTATAACTTAAATTTTGTAACTGTTTAACAAGGAACATGTTGACTACTAGTTTTTCTTAAAGACAGTATTACCCATTTCCAGAGTACATATTTTTAAAATTAATAGACTTTATTTTTAGGGAAATTTTAGATTTACAGAAAAATTAAGCAGAAAGTAAGAATCTATTTTTTGAGCAGAAATTTTTGAGAGCTGGCAAAATTTCAGGGTCTGTTGTAATAGTTGGGTTTTTGTTCCATTCAGCTGTGGATACACCAATAGCTTATAGCCAAGCGCATATTAGTATCCATCAAATCCATGAATGAGATATTTTTCTTTAATATCACATGGCTCTTAATTACAGGTTTTACATACAGTTAGCCCTCTAACAGCAGAGGTGGAATCTACGGATACAGAGGGCTGACTGTTACCTGAAAAACCAGGGTTTGTTTGCCTGGTGAGTAACAAGCGACTGTCCATGAAAATGCAGGAGTTTTCTTACAAGAAAGGCCAGCACTGGGAATATTCTCCAAATCAGTGTCTTCTCAAAAGAAAGTAACAGGAGGCTGTTGACAAAAAGAACTAAACTGTAAAATATTTAAAAAGGTTTATTCTGAGCCAAATATAAGTGACCAAGGCCCATGACACAGCCCAGGAGGTCCTGAAAATAGGTATCCAAGGTGCTTGAGTCACAGCTTGATTTTATACATTTTAGGGGACAGAAGTTACACAGATACCAATCAATACAATCAATACATGTCAGGTGTGCATCAATTCAGTCTGAAAAGGTGGGGCAACTCAAGGCAAGAGCCTCCAGGTCATAGGTAGATTGAAAGATTTTCTGACTGGAAATTGGTTGAAAGAATTACGTTATCTGTTTTTTTGAAATTGAGTCTCGTTCGCTCTGTCACCCAGGGTGGAGTGCAATGGCACGATCTCAGCTCACTGCAAACTTTGCTTCCCAGGTTCAAGTGATTCTCCTGCCTCACCCTCCTGAGTAGCTGGGATTACAGGCACATGCCACCACACCTGGCTAATTTTTATATTTTTAGTAGAGACAGGGTTTCACCATGTTGGCCAGGCTGGTCTTGAACTTCTGACCTCAGGTGATCCACCTGCCTTGGCCTCCCAAAGTGCTGGGATTACAGGCATGAGCCACGGCACCTGGCCAAGTTGTTATTATCTAGGGATCTGGAATCAATAGAAAGGAATTGTCTTGGTTAAGATAAGGGGTTGGGGAGACCAAGATTCTGAGGTGGGAGGCAAGACTTGATTCCAGAGGGGGGCTTGGACGCCAGACCAGTTGAAGACTAGCTAAAAACTGGTGCTGTGGGGCAGGGGGCAGAAATACCTCCTCATAAGACACACCCAGCAGTGTGCCATGTCAGTTTACCATTGCCATGGCAACACCTGGAGGTTACTGCCCCTTTCCATGGCAACGACCTGACAACTGGGAAGTTATCTCACTCATTCTAGAAATTTCTACATAACCCCCTTAATTTTCGTATAATTACAAGTGCGTATGAGTGCAGACCTGCCTCTGAGGTGCTACACACACTGCCTATGGGGTAACCCCACTCTGCCAGGAGGAGGACCTCCGCTGCTGCTGGTCCACTGCTGCTTTCAATCAAAGCTCCTATTTAACAGCAGCAGCTGGCCCTGAATTCTTTCCTGGGAGAAGCCAAGAACGCTTCAGGGCATAGCCTCAATTTTGGGGCTTGCCTGTCTTGCATCAGTTCTTATTATGCAGATGAAATCTCCCGGTAGCAGGCTTCATAGAGAATAGGTGGTAAATGTCTCTTTTTTTAAAAAAAAAATTATTTTTTTAAGATGGGGTTTCACCCTGATGGCCAGGCTGGTCTTCTTGAGCTCCTGACCTCAGGCGATCCACCGACCTCAGCCTCCCAAAGTGCTAGGATTACAGGCGTGAGCCACCGTGTCCGGCCGTCTCTTACCAAAGCTAAAAAGATGCCAGACTCTTAGTTCATCTCTCCTGGATCAGGAAAAGACCTGGAAAGGGAAGGGGATTCTCTACAGAATGTAGATTTTTCCCATAAGAAACAGCTTTGCAAGGCCATTTCAAAATATGTCAGAGAAATATATTTTGTGGTAAAATACTTGGATTTCTTTCAGGGTCTACTATCTGTCATTTGAGGCTATACTAGAGTCAGATTGAGATTTAGCGTCTTACTGCTACAAAGAGTCTGTTTTGTCAGTCTTAAGATCTCTGTTTTAATGTTAATGCTGGTCAGTTGTGTCTTTTTTGTTTGATGTAATCCCATTTGTCCATTTTTAATTTTGTGCTTGTGCTTTTTGTTAGGTTTTGAATGGAGGCAAGGGTGAGAGAGAGAGAGAGAGAGAGCAGAGAGAGAGGAGAGGGAGAGAGAGAGAGAGAGAGAGAGAGAGAGAGAGAGAGAGGAGAGAGGGGAGAGAGGGGAGAGAGAGAGACTCAACAGCAAATGCAGGCATTTATGCGTAGGATAAACCTATAGAGGTGGGGGATTAGCTTAATGTCAGTGCCCACTGCTGCTTACATACAAGCTGGGGTACTTATAGGTGTGGGCAGAAGGGGTCTAGGGAGTATGGCTTGCTGCCTGGCAGGATATTGATAAGATGTTCCTATGATCGGGTGGTTTGGCCCCTGTTCTGGTGGAATGTGGTGTTCCTTTCATTTTCTCTCAATGGAATATAAGAGGCAGGCTGTTTCTCATGGCCCTAACCCCATGGAATGTTTGACTTTGACCAAGGTTTGTGAAATGGTGGTGGACTTAAAAAATGGTGCAGTTTGGACTAACACTTTCGGGGACTCTTGTTCTTTTTGACTACATATATTTTCTAGGAGGACAGCAAGTTTCTGGATACTCTTACATATTGCTTGTTGGAAACAGATGCTGGTGTCGCAAAGGAAAATCAGCACTCAGACAAAGAATCTCTCAGCAAAGCAATTTTACTTCCGTCAGAAAGGGGGCTCCTGTTAGCCATCTTGCCATGAGAGTAAAATGAACAAAGGAAAAGCAGACATATTTATTCCTTACACATTTGGAGTGGTCCTTACTGCTGTGTCTGATCTCTGCTTACTGGAGCCAGGCCTCACTATCTAAACTAAAACCTGATGGGCTAACAACTTAAAACTTTTCTAAACAGGTAAAAGCAATGGAGAACAAAAGGAAAAGAGGAAGTCCAAATAAGGAAGGGACAGGAAGTTGCTTGTGAAAGGACTTAGAAAAGTAATAACATAAACCTTATTTATGTTAAAGTACAAGGACACAGAATGCATTTTGTGCCTGTGAGCATGTCTAGCACAAATATCTCGGTTAAAGCTCAAGGACATAGAATGTACTTATTCCTTTATATCTAACAGCCACTAGGATAGGGCTTAACGAAGAGTCACTAATAAAAAACAAGAAGGCTTTGAAGAAAGTTAGTCTTTAAAGGAGGCTATTATTTCTAACATTTATTATTCTTTAATAAGGCAGGAAACTTTGAAGAGGAACTTTTCTTCTTCCCACATTACTTGTGAGCTTTAAGTTACTCAATGATTTAACTTGTGACAGTGGTTATCTTTAAACATGTCATGATTTTTTTCTTTAATCATTTTTAGTGCAGACTGTATAAAACATACAAAAAGCCACCATACTTATATGTAATTTAAAAATAATTTAAAACAAATTAAAAAGTACCCAGATAGCTACAACCCAGTCCAAGAGTTAGAATATGGGCAGAATCCCACGATGCACAATTTCCCTACGCCATCCCCTACCTGCAACAAACCTCTTCCTCTTGCCGAAGTCACCACTCTTCTAACCTTGTGACAGTCACTTCCTTGCATACCTTTATAGTTTTGTCACTTGTATGTGCATTGCTTAGTTTTGCCTTTTATGTTTAGATCTTCAATCTTGAAATTTATGTATGATATCAATAAATAAAAATTTATGTATGATATAAATTTATGTATAAAATTTATGTATGATATAAATATGTTTATTTGTGTATGACAAAATATATGACAATGCTTCTCTGTCCCAGCACTGTTTATTAGAATTTCTACGTCCTTAGCTGATCTACACTACCACTGAATCAGGAGATTAGAAGCTGGAGGCAGGGAACCTAAGGCTGATTCATGCTGCTTATCAGGGAAAGGAGGGGTTGAATCCAGCGCCGGATTCATCCCTTTCCAACCCCTCCTTTCTTCTGTGAGGCAGTTGAAAAATGAAAGTACCTCTGACTGGGCTGGGCATGGTGGCGCATGCTTGTAATCCCAGCACTTTGCTGAGGTAGGCGGATCACTGTCAGGAGATGGAGAGCATCCTGGCCAACATGGTGAAACCCTGTCTTTACTAAAGTTCAAAAGTTAGCTGGATTTGGTGGCGCGGGCCTGTTATCCCAGCTACTCGGGTGGCTGAGGCATGAGAATCGCTTTAACCAGGGAGTCTGAGGTTGTAGTGAGCCAAGATAATGCCACTGCACTGCAGCCTGGGCAACAGGAGTGAAACTCTGTCTCTAAATAAATAAATAAATAAATAACCTCTGATTGGTCCCCTCCTGCAACCAATCAATCAGACTGATTGGAGGCCAATGGGAAACCTCTAGCGGGTATTTAAACCTCAGGAAATTCTGTAACAGGCTTTGAGCTGATTGCTTGAGCCCGCTCCTACCTGTGGAGTGTCCTCTCATTTAAAATAAATCTTGGCGGCCGGGTGCGGTGGCTCAGGCCTGTAATCCCAGCACTTTGGGAGACCGAGGCGGGTGGATCACGAGGTCAAGAGATCGAGACCATCCTCGTCAACATGGTGAAACCCCGTCTCTACTAAAAATACAAAAAATTAGCTGGCCACGGTGGTGCGTGCCTGTAATCCCAGCTACTCAGGAGGCTGAGGCAGGAGAATTGCCTGAACCCAGGAGGCGGAGGTTGCGGTGAGCCGAGATCGCACCATTGCACTCCAGCCTGGGTAACAAGAGCGAAACTCCGTCTCAAAAAATAAATAAATAAATAAATCTTGGCTTTTGCTGCCTTGCTTTGTGTGTTTTGTCGAATTCCTTGTTCAAAACACCAAGAACCCAGCCATCTACCCTCAACTGGCAACATGTTTTGGTCAGCCAGCCAGGAGGTAAGCCCAATGTTTGGGGTTTATTTTTCTCTTTTTCCCCTTTCTCTCTCTTTTCCTTTCCAACTCAGGACCCTCAGTGGACAGCGCCTGAGCATGGAGGCAACTGCAGGTTTCTGGCCGGGCCACTCTCCAGTGAACTGCAAGGTTTGCGTATAGAAGCGCCTGATCACCACCATCCAGTTTGGGTGAGGGACCTGAGTCCTTTTCTTTTTTGGTCTTTCAGCAGCTGTTTCCTGGCAGGGCAAATGGTCAGAAATCCCACATGTACAGGCCTTCATGGCCCTATGCCAAAACCTAATAATTTCCCCAAAGAAAGTCCAAAGGCAGAGCTAGATATTATAGAGGACCCCCTTTAACAAGGGTCACCTGTCTTTTATGGTGAACAGCAACCACCCCCATGTAGCCCTTTGCCAAGTGCTCCTGAGGCTAAAACCCACATTGGACACCCTACCAAGTCCACCTCACACTCAGAGGGGAACACCATGTTCAACTCACCCTCCAGCCCTGCTACCCCTTAGGGAAGAAGCAGGAGCTGAGGGGCCAGTCCTAGTGCAGGCCCCCTTCTCTATAACTGATATACAACAGTGTAACGGATAGCTAGGAAGCTCTTCTTAGAATCCCAGGAAATTAGCAGATGGGTTCCAAATTTTGACCATAGCCTTAGATTTCTCATGGAAAAATGTTCAATTCTAGCAACCTCTTGCACCCCCTTTGAAAATAAATGAATCTTTTAAGGCTGCCTGCCAGGAAGATGATCTATTTGCCCCAAGCCCTCAGGGCAATCACCTGGGCCCAGACACAGTCCCCACTACTCTGATCCTGATTGTTGGGACTGTAAAACGCCCATGGAAATGAACAGCTGGGCTAAATTTCTTGAGACTCTGCTTGGAGGCATGAGAAAGGGAATAACTAAGGCGGTAAGTGATGATGAACTAAGGGAGGTTACATAGGGTGAGGCAACCCTTGTCACGCTCATGCTGCAATCTGGAAGGAAGGGGATTGCTAACTAGCAAATACTCCCCTATACAACATGGGCCTGAAATTCTTCAGCTTTTGGAAGCAATACACCTGCTAAAGACTGTAGCCATTGTAGGGGGCATCAAAGGGACTTAACCCTTATAGTGCAAGGAAACAAAAACTGCTGGAGAAGCCACAGCTGTAGTTCTCAGGGCACAATCCCCCAGATCCTAGCACTGCTTCCACTCTGATTCCCCAATGGAACCTGAATACACACCACAGGAGGAACAGTTAATAAAGGAGCAAGGGGGACAAAAACAAGGATCCTGGTGGTGTATCACATCAAAAACACATTTCCCTCAAGCAGCCCAATGAAAAATTATAAAAACCCTGCAAGCTGGACGTGGTGGCTCATGCCCGTAATCCCAGCACTTTGGGAGACTGAGGTGGGTGGATCATGTGAGGTCAGGTGTTCCAGACCAGCCTGGTCAATATGGGAAACCCAGTTCTACTAAAAATAACAATTAGCCTGGTGTGGTGGGTGGGAACCTGTAATTCCGGCCACTTGGGAGGCTGAGGCAAGAGAATCGCTTGAACCTGGGAAGCGGAGGTTGCAGGTGAGCTGAGATCGCCCCTTAATAAGGGCAAAGGGGGAAACTGATTTCACAAGAGTGAAACCCGTCTCAAACAAAAACAACACCACCACCACCACCAAAAATCCTGGCTTAACTCTTCCCATATGGGGAGAGCTGCCAGCCTGGCCATGGTTAACAGGCTCTTCTTTGGGTCTAATTTAGCTTCTGTGGTTAAGCATGTCTTTCAAGCCTGCTCACTGTGTGCACTTAACCCAGGAAACAAAATGCCTCCTCTAATAGAACCAGTCCAGAAGAGAGTTTTTTATTTATTTTTTTGAGATAGAGTCTCGCTCTGTTGCCCAGGCTGGAGTGCCATGACACGATCTCAGCTCACTGCAACCTCGACCTCCTGGGTTCCAGCAATTCTCCTGTCTCAGCCTCCTGAGTAGCTGGGATTACAGGTGCCCACCACTATGCCCAGCTCAGAGGAGACTTGTATTAGAGGACTCTAATAGAACATACCCAGGAATAGACTGGCAATTAGACTGCACACATATGCCAGCTAGCACTAACAAGTTTTTGTTAGTGCTAATAGGTATCTTTACTGGTTAGGTTGAAGCTTACCCTACCAGAACAGAGAAAGCTAATGAGGTTATAAGGGTTCTCTTAACAGAAATAATCCCCCCTAATTTGGGTTACTTCAGAGTCTCCAAAATGATAATGGCCCATCCTTTCCCAGATAACTTAAGGGGTTGCTAAGCTTCTCAGAATCAAATACTATTTACATTCAGCATGGAGGCCTCAATCCTCTGGGAAAGTAGAAAGGTCTAACCAAACTCTAAAATGATTGTTAGCTAAGCTGTACCAGGAAATAGCAGAAGCTTGGATCAGCTTACTGCCCATAGCCCTCTTAAAATATCTGTAATACCCCTGGAGCAAAAATTAAGCCCATACTAAATGTTATATGAAGGCCATTCTTAACTAATGATGTAATTACTGTTTCAGAAAAAATGTGATTTAGTAAAATCTCTAGTTAACCTAGGACAATTTCAGCAGGCTTTACAAAAGTTTGGAACTCAAAGGCTTCCCATACCGGAACTAACCAGCAACCCCAAATCAGGCCAGGAGATAAGGTGCCTGTCAAAGCATGGAAGGAGGGATTATTTGTTCAATAATTACAACCCAGATGGAAGGCACCGTTTTCAGTAATACTGGCCACGCCTTCTGTGGTCAGAGTACTAGGATTAGATAGTTGGATCCTTTCAAGGATCAAGTCTGTGATACCTGAAGCCCTGGACCTGGAACCTGAAGTTCCCTTCAGCCACTACACCTGTGAAGGTCTTCCTTCAGGGAAGACCTGAAGTACCTGTTTAGAAGACAGCCAAAAGATAAATGTTATAAACAGGTTCTCAGTACCACAAAGAATCAACATTGAGACTACGGTTCCGTCAGCAAGGCCAGTTTTACTTTCTGCAGAAAGGCTGCCACTTGTTAGCAATCTTGCCATGAGAGCACACCTGAACAAAGGGATCAGGAGCATTTATAACCTGATGCAGCCATCCTACTGCTATGTCCAGTTTCCATTGGCCAGAACAGGACCTCACATTCTAAGCTTTACCTGACTGGCTAGCAACTTAAAACTTTCCTACATAGGTAAAGGCAAGAAAGGACAAAGAAGAGAGGAAGTGACTTGTGGAATGCTGAGAAAGGCAAAAGTACTTCTTAATAAGGGCAAAGGAGGAAACTATGATCCAATGCTTGCCTAGGCTTGCCCAGACGTGTCAGGACGAATATCTGGGACAGCCAAGGAAACTGAAGAGGAACTTCTGTTTCATTTTCTACAATAAATAAATGCCTCTCAATTTCTCTTGGTGTTCTTGTGGCATAGTTACTGTAGGCTGGATAACAGAACCCATGTTTTTATATTGTTTTGCAAATTAATTGCCTTCTTTCAAACAGTTGAAATTGTTTCCTTTGTAGTAATTAAGTAGAAAATTTTAATTCATTTCTATAGCAAACATTCCTGATAGCATAGGTATCCACTTCCTGAAGTTCATTAAATCTTTTAACCAAATTCATTTTCTCTTGTCTAGAGATGATCATGCGGCAAGGTTTCCAGCCAGTTCCAAATGAATTCACCACCCCTGGCTATCAAGAAACTACCCTGTCTTCACTAGACAGAGCAGGGTGAGAGTTCTGTGATCCCCAATAGGTAGGGACTGTGCCCCAAGTCAGCATGAAGCAGTTACAGAAAAAAGACCATCAGTCTGCCTCCCATAAAGACTTAGGGGGATCATGTCTCTCAGTGGGGAAATGAGGCAGGAGAATAGGGCCTGGAGGCAGGAAACCTGAGATTGATTTATGCTCACTGGATATCAGAGTGATATCCTTTTCAACCCCTCACTGCCTTTTCAACCCCTCCTTTTTCTGCGTGGCAGTTGGTGGGTGGCAATTGCCACCCCTCCTGTTTCTGCCTGTCAGTTGAAAAATGAAAATACCTTTGATCGTTCCCCTCCTGCAACCAATCAGACTGGTTGGGGGGGCCAATAGGAAACTTCTAGAGGGAATTTAAATCCCAGAAGATTCTGTAACCAAGCTCTTGAGCTGCTTGCATGAACCTGCTCCCACTGTGTGGAGTGTACTTTCACTTAAAATAAATCTGCTTTCGCTGCCTTGCTTTGCACATTTTCTCCAGTTCTCTGTTCAAAATGCCAAGAATCTGGGCAACTACTCTCAACTGGTAACACCACCTGTGTCGAAAATGAAGTGTCTATATATGCCTGTTCTTGGGCTCTCCATTCTATTCCAATTGTTCTACTTGTCAAACTCTGTTAATATGATGCTATCTTTAAAGCAAGTTATTTCTGTTGATGTCTGGCTTGTTTGCACATACTAGTCATAACATGGTTTGCCTGATTGCAATCTCCTAATTTTGTGGAGACTTCCTTTATTGTCCAGTATGATTCACTTTGTAAAGGTCTTGGGTGTTCTTGAAAAGAATGTGTGGTATGCAGTGTTCAAATCCCTTCAGGTCCCATATGTAGGCAGTCATTTTCCCCTAGGCAGGCTCACAGAGTCCAGATGCTTGGTCAGGGCTGGCGTTAAGCATGAGATACAGACTAAGTTCTCTTCTATGTTAACCTAGCCCTTGTGTTGACACCAGATGGTGATTCCAGACCTCCGACCCTCTTGTGTTTCTCTTGGGTTATCTGTGGGCCAGCTTACTTCAGTTGGAGATATTCCAAATTATTAGAAATACATCAGTAAGTTAGAAAATCAAAGGGAAATCACTCGGATCTTTATTTTCTTCCTTCCTGAAGGTCCTTGTCT